AACAAGAGTGAAAAAAAAAAAAAAAAAAAAAAAAAAAAGAGGGGAGTCAGTCCTTGTCAGTGTACCAATTAAAATAATCTCTTATACCATTAGTTCTGTCTTTCCCTCTTTGGAGAACACCGTTACAGTTTAGTTCATTTCCAGCTAATAAACACTTAGTTCTGTTTCAGACTGATTAATTTCTTTTTTGAGACAGAGTCTTGTTCCTTTTGCCTAGGCTGGAGTGCAATACCTCAACAGAGGGAGATTCTGTCTCAAAAAAAAAAAAAAAGTGGCATATTTTTGTTTTAATTTGTATTTCCCTGATTTCTGTTTAATTATGATTTTTATGTGTTTCTTTTTCATTTCTTTTTTTTTCTTGTTGATGGTTTTATTTCTTTATTTCTTCAATAATGCCATATCTTAATGGGTACACAGTGCTTTAACTTGGCATCAACTATGAGATGTTTTTTAAACAATTTATTATTACACCAGTTGGGATTATTACTGATCTCTCCATTCCTTTGGAATGACTCTGCCAACAGGGGAAAGGTTCCATTCTATTCCGATTTGTGTTGCTACATATGTCCACACAGCAATACAGAAAGTGGTTCTACTAGCTAATACAGCATTACCATATTTGTCATGAAAATCAGGTGTACATTTCTGGTGGCTCAGCCTTGCCATTGTTTGCTGAATGCTTCAGACTTGGAGATGACTTAGTGCTTGACCAAGGGAAACATCATGAAGGTGAAGATAGAATTGCAGCAATACAGCTGCTGCTTTGGTGTAAATTCACTTATCCTTTTTCATTTCTTATTGAGCCCTAATATTTAAAATCCTTGCCTTTTCTTCTAGATCAAAACTCACCAATGAAGACTTCAGGAAACTTCTCATGACCCCCAGGGCTGCACCTACCTCTGCACCACCTTCTAAGTCACGTCACCATGAGTAAGTCTTTGGGTGATCCAACCTGTCTCCCACCTTTTTTCCTGCTTCTTCCTATTTCTTTCTACTGAAGTAGAATGACTTTTAATAGTCCCTCAGATATTTATGATGCTCCCTAAAGTTTGAGAACTGCTCACCTACAAATATTGATGTGAATATCTGCCTGATTGAAACTGTTATTTTGGTCAGTATTCTAGGTCTTTCTAAAAGCCATCAAGGACATTTCTTGAGGTTTCTGGGGCTGTGGTAATATTTTGCTATCAGTGAATTTCTTGTCTCTTTTAGGATGCCAAGGGAGTACAATGAGGATGAAGACCCAGCTGCACGACGGAGAAAAAAGAAAAGGTGAAGGAAGGGTGAAGGGTTTTAGATTTTAAAGTGGATAGTGTTTAGGCGAAAGAAGTAGGGGCTAATTATGAGGCTAGAAACTAAGGTTTTGTCTTGATGCTCTCTACTTTCTTAATGGAGCAGAGTGATACTTAGACTGGCAATAGAGGGCTTTGGAATTGGCCTGTCTATATTTTAATCTCATCTTCACTAGTTTCTTGGTGGATAACCTAGGCATTTAATTAGCCTCTCTAATTCATGGATAGAATAGAGATAGAGTAGTAACAGTAGCTTTTACTAGGATGTCATGAGGATTGGCTGTGAAAGCACATGTAAGCATTTGGCACCAATCTCTGGCATATGATAACCACCCAATAAATCTTGTCTGCTATCATCATTATTACCTCATCATCATTATTTATATGATACTGAAGATACTGGACCTGATACTTGGCTTTTCCTTTATTCTGAGGGTAGACCAGCAAAGAATATGTTCTTTTCAACTGAAATTTAGAAGGTGGTAAAAATTGAGATTTTCTGATTTTTGTGTGGAAACGTAACTATAGAGAATTATATATAGAGAGTTGGATGATATTAAAAAGTTCTGAAGTGACAGATGGAGTGGCCCAAGTTGGCATTGGAAAAGTATATCTATGAGCTGGAAGAAGTTGTAGTTCTGATTTTGCGTAACTATGAAGTGGCCAGCAGTTCTATCAGGACAGACATGAGCTTTTCCCCCATAGAGAGCAGGATGGAGATGTGGGGAAGCAAGCAGGAACAGCTCTGTTGACTTTGAGGTGGCAGCTGGCGAGCCTTACACATTCGTCTTTCTCTGGTCAGTTATTATGCCAAGCTACGCCAACAAGAAATTGAGAGAGAGAGAGAGCTAGCAGAGAAGTACCGGGATCGTGCCAAGGAACGGAGAGATGGAGTGAACAAAGATTATGAAGAAACTGAGCTTATCAGCACCACAGCTAACTACAGGGCTGTTGGCCCCACTGCTGAGGCGTGAGTACCAGGGGACCAGGACATGGTTCCCTCAGCATCCCAGAGTCATGCAAATACAGTGTGAACTCTTCCTTTTACTTTCCTGCTCTGGAGCCTACAATCAGTGATTTCAGAGGTACTTGCCACCTACAGAGGACTGTTCTAATGTGGCCTGTTTCATTATACAGGGACAAATCAGCTGCAGAGAAGAGAAGACAGTTGATCCAGGAGTCCAAATTCTTGGGTGGTGACATGGAACACACCCATTTGGTGAAAGGCTTGGATTTTGCTCTCCTTCAAAAGGTGAGTCCTGGTGGTCAGTGGGGAGTAATACCATGGTGCTGAACATTCTTGTATGGGTCTGGCAAGATGAGGAGGGGGGCTCCTCATCTTGACTGAGTAGAAGAAGGGCTAACGGTGGCCCCTCTATAAAGCTGATTGCTACTCATCTTTCAAGTATCAGGCCAAATTTTATTTCCTTGGAGAAGCCTTCCCTGATCACCCAGGTGTGGCTAAGCGCCTCCCTTCATCTCCCACTTCCTGTACCCTTGCATAGCCCTTCTGTTTCACTTTACCACAGCAGTTATTGTACTTTGTAGAAATTGTTTAATTTGTCTATCTCATTTGCTATAAACTCCATTAGAGTAAGAATAATATCTGTCATGTTTAATATTATATTCTTAGTTCATGGTACAGTATGGTGTAGTGGATGTTCAATAACTATATAAAGTGAATGAATGTCCTAACCCTGCTTACTTTCCTGTTAGGTACGAGCTGAGATTGCCAGCAAAGAGAAAGAGGAAGAGGAACTGATGGAGAAGCCCCAAAAAGAAACCAAGTAAGTAAATATTAGGGAAGGCTTAAGAGTTTAGAAAGGTGGGACCTAAAGTCGGAGCACATTTAGCAAAAACAAAACTTTTTTGTCTTTTCAGGAAAGATGAGGATCCTGAAAATAAAATTGAATTTAAAACACGTCTGGGTGAGTATAGTTTCTGTGCTAGTGACTGTGCATTCTAGGTGAATTGTAGGGAATTTAATGCTCTGGGAAGGGTATGCTTTTCCTTTCCCCCAACCTCGTTTCTTCTTCTTTTTTTTTTTTTTTTTTTTTTTGAGATTGTGCCTCACTTTATTGCCCAGGTTGGAATGCAGTGCTGTGATCATGGCTCACTGCAGCCTTGACCTCCTGGGCTCAGCCCCTTGTGTAGCTGGCACCACAGGTGTGTGCTACCACACTTAGCTAATTTTTAAAATTTTTGCAGAGATGGGGGTTTCTCTATATTGCCCAGGCCAGTCTCAAACTCTTGGGCTCTAATGATCCTCCTTTTTGTCTCCCAAAGAGCTGGGATTCTTTCTTGCCCCCAGAACAACTAACTCCCATAAAATAATAAGACTCAGACAAGGACTTAATTATTTCATATGTCATTTATGTCTCCTCAGGTAGATTGAAAGCTTTTTCAGTTTGTGGCTTATGAAGTAAAAGAAGTAACATGGTTAGTGATTAAAAGCTCAAAATTTGAGTCAGAGAGACCTGAGTTTAAATTCTGATGATGAAACCACACTAAGTGTGTGATTTTAGGCAACTGACTTTGCTTTCTGTTTGTTCATCTGTAAAAATTGGGTTAATGTTTACTTTATCAGTTTATTATAGGGATGAAGAAAAATGAAATATATAACATACCTGTCATATTGAGCAGGTAGTATAGCTGTTCTTTCCATCATCATCAATATTACCTTAAACCTCATCTTTCTTCCTCACAGGACTTAATACAGGTGCATAGTGCCCTTGAAGAGGCAATGTAAAAGAAAGGACTGGAACCCAGGCTTTTGAGTTACACTGCCTGGTTCCATTCTTTGCTCCATTACTTAGTAGATACATGAGTTTAGATAAATTACTTAAATCTCAGCCATAGTATTCTTGTATTCTTTTCAGTAAAAAGGATAATCCCACTTCACAGGGCTGTTGTAAATTTTTTTTTTTGAGACAGAGTCTTGCTCTGTCATCCAGACTGGAGTGCAATGGCCCAATCTTGGCTCACTGCAACCTCCGCTTCCCCAGGCTCAAGCGATTCTCTTGCCTCAGCCTCCTGACTAGCTGGGATTACAGGCCCATGCCACCATGCCTAAATAATTTTTGTGTTTTTAATAGAGACGGGGTTTCACCATGTTGGTCAGGCTGGTCCTGACCTCGTGATCTGCCCACCTCAGCCTTGCACAGTGCAGGATTACAGGTGTGAGCCACTACGCCCGGCCTGTTGTAAAGATTAAATGAAGCAAAGCATGCATAGCACTTGGCATGGTGGCTAGCACAGAGTAAGCACATAAGTGACAGCTGTTCTTACAGATCTTGGCTACTTGCTGTTCTTCTCCTTATTGTAGGCCGCAATGTTTACCGAATGCTTTTCAAGAGCAAAGCATATGAGCGGAATGAGTTGTTCCTGCCAGGCCGCATGGCCTATGTGGTAGACCTGGATGATGAGTATGCTGACACAGATATCCCCACCACTCTTATCCGAAGCAAGGCCGATTGCCCTACCATGGAGGTGAGTGAATGGAGTCCTGAGAGCCTACCATGTGAGCCTCAAGCCTGGGAATCAGCCTGGCCTCTGCCCCATGTCCCTCATCCACCATGTCACTAAGTTCTATTCACTTTTACCTCCTAAATCTCAACTGAATCCATTCACTTTTCCACTTCACCAATAACATTCCAGTCTAAGCTATAATCTTGTGCTGGAACTATTAACTTACTATTTTTTTTGAGACAGAGTATCACTCTGTCACCCAGGATGGAGTGCAGTGGCACTATTTTGGCTCACTACAACCTCTACTGCCCAGGTTCAAGTGATCCTCCTGCCTCAGCCTTCTAAGTAGCTGGGACTGCAGGCATTCATCACTACACCTGGCTAATTTTTGTGTTTTTAGTAGAGATTGGGTTTTACCATGTTGGCCAGGCTGTTCCTGAACTCCTGACCTCAAGTGATCCATCCGCCTTGACTTCCCAGAGTGCTGGGATTACAGGCATGAGCCACTATTGCAGGCCTCTGGAACTATTAAAAAGGCTTCTAATTGGTTTCTGCACTTTTACTTTCACTCTAATTGGTTTCTGCACTTCCACTCGGATTTGTTACTGTATCTTTTTATTGAGGTATTATTCACATGGCATAGAATACATCCTTTAAAAAGAATGTTTTAAAAAATTTTTGTGAGTATACAATAGGTAATATATATTTATGAAATACATGAGATGTGTTGATATAGGCATGTAATGCATAATAATCACATCAGGAAAAATGGGGTATCCATCCCCTTAAACATTTATCTTTTGTGTTACAAACAATCCATTTATACTCTTTCAGTTGTTTTAGAGTGTACAATTAAATTATTACTGCCAGGCCGGGCGCGGTGGCTCAAGCCTGTAATCCCAGCACTTTGGGAGGCCGAGGCGGGTGGATCATGAGGTCAAGAGATCGAGACCATCCTGGTCA